CTCATCCACCATAAAATTAATTAAACTATCCTACACCAAAATCAGAGATGCAATTTGAGTCAGAGTTTTAAATCTAACAATGCATGAACTCCCTAACCCTCCACAGTGGGGAGGGAAAGTTATGGCAGGGAGGGCAAATAATTTCTGTCAGCAGATTCAAGCCAGAGACCATTTAATTTTTATAGTTTAATAAAAAGCATAAAGAGTACAGTTTTTGGTTCATTAAAGTGTCTCCCAAGAACTATTTTAACAAAAATACCCCTTAGAGCAGGGGTTGACAACTTGTGGCCCTCCAGATGATTTGGCCTACAACTCACATCATTCCCCACTATATATAGACTTAAACATGTAGAGTTATTGTTGTGCATACAATTAACTCTCAAGTTTCAGAAGCAGTTTGTTGATATAGTCTTGCGAGTTGCTACTTGAGAACCATTGGCTATTTACAATTACTGCATGCTTCTTTGGATCATGGCAATTATATTTCAGGGTTGTATTTTAGCAGGAAACCCAAGGTTTACAATGAAAATAAACTAAGAGATACCCAAAAGACCCCTCTAAGTACTGAAGAATGAAATTAGAGGAATGGAGCAAAAGAGGGATGTTTTCCTTAGAAGTGATAGTTGAATGGAACTATGAAAGATGTAGACATACACTAGTACAGGTTCATGGATGTGTAGGCTGGATTAGTAAATAGACAAGTTGTAATGGTTAATAATAATGACTAGCTGTTGTAAGTGCTAATAAATTTGTCATGCATTTTTGAGAAAAATAAGATCATTAACAGAATTAGACAATTAAAGGCATTTTAAGAGTTTGGAACCTTTTAAAGATCATATTTGACCATTCAGGCATCCTCATAGCTTTTGGATAGCCTGAACTGTGTGATTATATCTAATCCTGGAAGCTAAGCAGAGTTGGGCCTGACTGAAATCTGAATGGGTGACTTGAATTTGTGGATCACCCAGAGAGCTTCAGCTATGGGTGGTATAGAATAGTAATTTGAGGTCCTTCTCAGCCTGTGTTCAGGAACTGCATTCAGGGTTTTGTTAGTGCATAGCCCAGGTTTACTTGAACCACTGGATCTTTGACATTGTCCTGATCAGTTATTTATTTTTGTGTAAAGTTTTGTCCTATTTTTCCAGTCAGCTTCTTTGTGTCCCAAAACACAGCCAAACCTCTCCCTGTTCTCTGACTGCTGCATTATCTTTTCTCCCTTCCCTCATAGCCAAGAATTTGGTTCTGTATTTGTTGATGGGAAGTCAAGGAGGACTTTCTTTGGTGCTGAGAAATAGCTCCCTTGGCTTCTATGAGGGTATGCTTTGGGCACAGAACTATTGGTATTATCCACCGTATCTTACACCGAGCCATTGTCTCATAGGTTGGCCAAGGTGTAGTCACCACAGCAACCATTTTTCTATCCTTTCCTCATTGCAAAATCCAGAGTTCTGACATTTCTTCTAAAAAGAAACTGACAGCATGCTATTTATGAACCAAAACCAACAATGTATTTTATTCTATTTCATAGCTCTGTAGGTCTTATCCTCAGTTTCCCCAAAATGAGAACCTGAGTAACACTCTGCACATTACTAATTCCAATTACAGTCATGCCCTTGGGTGCAGATAAAAGAAGAAACGTGTTTAAGAAGGTACCATTTTCTAGTCAGGTGGCATGCCCCCTTGAGAAAGATTATATGTTCATATAAATTATGCAAAATATATGAACCTCTTTACCTTTAGCAAACCATTGGGGAGTGGTATGCTGACAAGGGAAATAGGAAATCAATAAATGAGATGATGTTTAAGCAAGAGATGTTTAAGCAACTGAATGACCAAACTAGCCTTACAAGATCAGCAGTAATGTATTAAGGTATATTAACACACAGTAATAACTATTGTCATTATGTTTGTGATCTGAGTTAGAAATGCCAGTTGTTCATTATCAAGTTATTTATAATTGCTTGCATCCCAGGTATCCGTTTCATGGCAGGCATTCCTTCTGTTCACAAAAGGCTTTTTCATACTGAGTAGTATCCCAACAATAGAATGGGGGTAATGCAAGTTTTTGCTGCTTATTCCATCCCACTGCATACTGCACTCATTCCTGTTGGTTCCCCAGCCTTCCAGAGAAAATGCTTGTGGAGTGCCAGTGTTTCAAGGGGAAGTGGAGAAAGGCCTCATATGCTTTCCACTAGCAAGAGGATCCCCATGAGCAAAACTCTCTTTACAGGGCGCTTCCACCAGCAGAAGGCCCTTGGGGAATCAAACCAATACCCATGAATTGCTTCTTTTTCTAAAGAGATCCAGTATAACATACAGCTAAATAAAATATGATGCACATTAAAAGTATTAAAATGTAAAGCATAACTAATAGCATAGCTATTATTTATGTAATGGCAATTCAGAAATATCTAAAATTGTTCTAGGAAACGGTATTAGACTTTTCCTCCTATATTTCTCTTAATAAAAATTTGGAACTCTTTCTTGTTTAGCTTTAGTGCCATCCTACAACATTTGTCATCACTAATGAAACATCACAAAAAAACCCTCAAAAGTAGCATTTAAGCAAATAAATTTTACTATTGTTATAGGTATTTTTTCAAGAATCACCAAATGTTCTATTTCATTCCTAAACCAGGTAGAATAACATTATAATGCCTTTCTCTGATGCCAATTATGCCAGGATCTTCCAAAGGGATAGTGCTGAGAACAGCACTTGGCCAGTAGCACTTCCTTGAACTGTTATGGCTTGAACTGTTGTAGGGGGCGAAAGGCATAGGAAGCAAAATCAGCTTTTAACATTGTACAGGTATGAAACAGGATACCAGGTGAAAATAATGTCTAGTTTTAGTAGAAAGCATGAAGTACTTCTACAAGTCCTTTGTTGTCATGAAAAAACTTAAATGCCTACCAGATAGGAAACAGATTCAGGAAACAGGTAGGAAACAGATTCCACTTCATCAGATTCAGCAAGAATTCTTGGCTGTTTCTCCACCAAAACTGTTGTTTATATTTACTCAGTTGCTTAGGTTCAAATTTCTGAGAAGATTAATTGTATAAGCACTTCCTATAATGTAGATTCTTTTGTACTATTTTTTCCTCAAGACTGGAATTTTAATAATCCTTTCTGTGGGGTTTACTTTTTGTTGTTCTTAATGAAAATAGACATAGTGTCTTTTTTGTTTCATGTGTGTTGCTAGTGTGTCTAGTTGAGACTGTAACAGGGTTTGAGTTAATAGAAAGGTATTTCAGCTTATAATTTATTATACTTCTACAATAAGTTCAATGACCAAGTCCACTGACAGCTACTTTCATTCCTCCCCACCCCAAACAGCTGATAAGGTCTATAATCCTATGACTGGGTCTGTGCCCTCCCTACCTTTGACCTGGATGTCACTACCCAGAGATAATTTGAAATACGCATCACTGCCCGGAGAAATTTCATTTGTTTCCTTGCTTGTTTTCTTTATGTACATGCGTATCTATATGAAGATCTCTCAGGACAACTTAGAAGGCAGAATAAAAATACAATACAAAATAAAAACTATGGGGTTGTGCACAAGATCCCAATCCATCAGAATGTTCTTAGCTCACTTTTGTCAGAGGACAGTACTTGAAAACACTTCAGAACTCTGTTCTTGTACCTACAAGCCACTGCTCATCATAAAGGTTGAGGAGTAAGCATCTGCCTCTTCTACAAACTACCTAATAGTTACTGAACTGTTTCTTCTTCTCAGTACTAGATCTTCTCCCATGAAATCTTACTCAGTCTTGTAAATCCTTCTCCTTCTTTCCCCTCCTCAGTATGCTCTGCTGCTTAGAAAGTGCAATGTACACCCAAAGGGCAGTGTCCTATTGTGCCATTGTGAAAATACAAATTACTTTGAACTATTGTAAAAGGACAGTGCTGAAAAAATGGGATTGCCCAAAATACCCACTGTGCAATCTATTGCTGCTGGCATTCTGCAGCAACTGTGGATTGTAGTTTACACTAGCAGAATGATACCATAGTTGCTTGATTGTGGCAACTACATTATTTAGAATATTATTTTAAAATATTATGAAACCATTTTTACAAGTATCACCAATGGGGAGAAGCATTCAAAAGTAACATCCCATACCTGCAGCCTTAAGTGGCATGATCTACCTACCCTTCTGGTTCTTTATTCTGCCACTTTATTCTACTTCATGTGTAAACCAATTTCAAAGGATTAGAGTTGGTTTTCTCGTCATGCAAACTCTGTAAAGTAGGTTAGATTTTGATCTAGGATAGGTAGTTTGCACATGCAAGTTATCATTTGATGTACATAATCATCTGATTGAATAACATTCATGCATAAATTAGCCTAGACACCACAGATAGTGCTATTGCTGTAAAGCCAACAAATCTAAGAATTTTCAGTCCCATTGATATATTCATGTGCTTAGTTGTTTCTAGTTGGAATCATTTTGCCTTAAATGTACTTAATTTTGGCTGGATCATGTTGTAATTTTTTTTCTTATGCAGCAGGAAAGCTACAGTACATAGCTTTGAAAATGATATGGACCTATAACTAATTAACATTATAATGTCCTGCAATTCAGGTTTTGGTTTTGTCACATCAGTTTCACCAAGTAGCATTAGTGTGAGAAACAATGAGTGCTAATTTATTTTAAAATCCAGACTTAAAGGCTTAACCCAAACTCATTTATCAGGAATAACAGGAAACATTAATATTAGTAGTTCTTAGCTGTTTTGATATCATTTTACTTTTAATTAAATTTTAATTTCACTCAAGACACTTTGAGAATTTTGTAAAAGCAGCATGATTTTTTTAAACTGATGAAATGGTTAGTGGTTAGAGTATAATACTGCATTGTAACACTTGCAGAATAAATATTCTGCATGGCTCTTGCACAGCTGACAGCTGAGCACTGGGGCAGAGACGCTCTAAGACATTAGGTGGTTTGTGGCTATGGTGACTGGATTTGCATACTCATCTTTTACTTGTTTTTTGCAGTACCGGTCAGGGCGGGATCCTCAACGAGGCTCTGACAATGTTTCCAACAAATCTTCAGATAGTGATGTAAGTGATGTGTCAGCAGTATCGAGGACCAGTAGTGCTTCACGTTTCAGCAGCACTAGCTATATGTCTGTGCAATCAGAACGGCCAAGAGGGAACAAGAAAATTAGGTAAGGAACTATATAACTGGTAACTTTCAAGTTTGCTTTGAACTGCAAATCACTTTTCCATTGTTTCCATTTGGTTCAAATAACGTAGCTTCCAAAAGACGCTTCAGAATATTGCACTAGCTTTCTGTGGCAGTAAAATGTTTTCCCATTATGCATTTGAGTAATTTATGGGTGAAATGTACACATTACTGGGAATTCAAGCAATGGACAATGTCTGACGATACAGTTTAAAGGCAGTCATTTCTATGATGATGGAAAATACAGCTGAAAAGCCCTCACAATTTTTTACAACTTTAACAGAAAGTATTTCATAAGTTTTAATTGCTACATTTAATAAGACGATGCCAGAAAGGTATAGATTCCCCCCCTCTCTCTCTCTCACACACACATATCCCCCTAGATAAATATACTTGTCTTCTGTGCCTACTTACCATATATATGGGCCTGCTGTAGAAAGCATGAATGCTTGCTTGCTCCCACCTTACAATACAATGAGTGATACAGCCATATGTGTGTGTGATTCACACATACGATGATTCACACAATTCTTCTTCATAAAAAAAGGGAGAGGAAGTTACATAAATACATACAGTTGAATACAATTCAAATTTTATCACGCTATTTTTAAGTGCAAAAGAATGCAAACGGATGATGGCTGAAGTGGGAGGGAGGACAGATACTATGTTTAAACTTCCCTTCTGCAGCTGGAATAGCCCTGTGGCACCTTTTGATGCTCTCCATCTGTGATTTTTCTTCAGTATAACACTTATTTAATAATTGTATAAAGGATGTATAAAGGATTGTATACTGACTGCCAGACTGATTCATTGAGCTATCAAGATGGTTAGGATAGTTCTCCAGCAGACATGCTGAACATATATGTAAGTTAGCCCAATTGCTGCAGCCACCTGAGAATGAATATTTGTACATACCTCCTTGAAAAGCTTACACCCAAATGGTTAAGAGCATACTAGCTAGGCAGATAAAACTTCATATTTACCTGTGAAAATAATAGTGCAAAGATGAGTTGCTTGTATGTTGCTGGCATAACAGAGTAGCAGCCTAATATGGGAAGGAAAGATATTAGCAGTAGCTGTGCAGGAAGGGAGTTTACTCCCCTAAATACCCTTCAAGAAACTGGGGTGGTAGACTAGAAGGAAAATACTACTTCTTCATAGGTCTATCATGGGATGGGAGGCTGAAGCGTGGGAATTTCATTTTCACCACATACTGAAACTCATGAGAGCTGACAGCTAAGAACATGTATGCATGCTTACAGAATAAGGATAAATTCTCTATGTGTATGTGTGTGTGCTTGCACATAGCACACACACTAGCATATAGATACCCATGGAACATCATATAATTTCATAAATATGGATGACTGCTAGGAAGCTACCCATGCTAATTTTATTCTGAAATTACAAGGGATATTTATATAGATTGCATTTAGCCATTTAGCCTGGTATATAAACCACTTCCTCTTTAGATGTGCCTAGAAAGAATAGCTGCATGATAATTTGGGCGTAATCAATCCCAAGAATTACCTTGCATGACTTTCTGTCACCACCACATTATTTATTTTTGTTGATTTATTGTATGAATTTTCTGTTCAATTTCCTTTTTGTTTAATGGATGCATGTTTGGTTTCTTCCAAGTCTTCTAAACTAGTTTCTGTCTTCTTTCTTGTTTGCATGCTTCCTCCATTTTTGTTAACTCTAGAAGATCAAATGAGGAAAGAAAAGAGGGAGGGGAGGAAGGGGATGGGGAGATATTTCTGGAGGAGGAGGAGAATCAGGAGTTTGAGGAAAAACTGAAAGATGAACAAACTGATGTAAAGGGAGATGAGGAAGAGATGACAGAGAACTGCGATAAGGAAGAAAACAAAGAACCAGAAGCAAATGAAGAGGCCCAAGATGAACAAAATGAGAAAGGGTCAGAAACAAATACTAAAGAGGATTTGCAAAGGAGATACTCACAAGATGATCTCAGGTAAAATAGTTCTTCATTTATTAGCGAGTTGGTAGCCTTCTCCTTCATCCCTTGTCCCTATTCCTTGCAACCCCATCTGTCATTTGCAATTTGTAATAGATTACAGGAACATCACCCATGCTGTAGAGTAGAGTGACTGATGCCATTCTTGGTTCAAATTAAGGAGAAATTCACTGGGTAGCTTTAGGAAAGCCACTATCTGACGTTATACAAACATCCAGTTCACAGAGTTTTGTCTCATTCTCTTCCAAACAAAATCCAGGATATATATAGATAAATGAAATTGTGGAACTGTGTAGATATCTGTTGAACACAATAAGCAAAACCTACCCATTATCCCCAGTAATTAGCTAATCTGAACCAACAGTAACCCTATGAAAGGGATAAAATTTTATTTATTTATTTATTTAACACATTTGTATGCCGTCCTTCACTATCGGGTCTCAGGATGGCTTACAAGATTAGAAACAAAAATAGAATAATTAATAAAACAATACAATAAAATTATCAAAACCCGCACAAATAAATCCAATCAAAAGAGAAAAAAAGCGACTATAAAACAGTAAAAATAATATTTTTTAAAATAATGATTAAATAAAAAGGTTTTAACCTGGCACAGAAAAGAGTATAGGCTTGGCGCCGGGCAGACCTCTCTGGGGAGCATATTCCATAATCTGGGCACCACCGTAGAGAAGGCCATGTTCCGATTCGATATCCTTTTTACCTCCTTTAGAGAGGGTTCTCAGATCAGGCCCTCTCCCACAGATCTTAAGGGGTGTGATGGCATATATGGAAGGAGACACTCCTTCAGGTATCCTAGTCCCAAGCCTTTTAGGGCTTTATAGGTCAAAACCAGCACCTTGAATTGGGCCTGGGCTTCAACTGGAAGCCAGTGGAGCTGGTAGAGGACCGGTGTTATATGAGAATAATGGCTGGTCCCCGTCAGCAGTCTGGCCACTCTATTTTGTACCAGCTGAAGTATCCAGACCATTTTCGAGGGCAGCCCCATGTAGAGCATGTTACAATAATCCAACCAGGAGGTCACCAGAGCATGAATCACCATTGCTAGGCAGTGCTTGTCCAGGTAAGGACACAGCTGATGAACCAGCCGCAGCTGTAGGAAAGCACTCCTTGCCACCACCGCCACCTTGTTTTCCAGTGACAGCTCTGGTTCAGTGACTCTGTCCTTTCGAGGGAGTGCTACCCCTTCCAGGACAAGGTCAAAATCACTTACCTGAAACCTCGATCTGCCCACCGACAGGACTTCTGTCTTATCTGGATTGAGGCTCATTTATTGGCCCTCATCCAGCCCATTACCTCAGACAGGCACTGGTTCACTACAGCCACTGCCTCACCTGAAGTAGATGTAAACAAGAGGTAGAGCTGGGTGTCATCAGCATACTGGTGACTCTGCAGCCCAAACCTCCTGATGACCTCTCCCAGTGGTTTCATGTAGATGTTGAAGAGCATGGGGGACAAAATATAGCCCTGCGGAACCCCATGGCAAAGCTGCCATGGTGCAGAGCCACAGTCCCCCAGCACCACCTTCTGGAATCGGCTGGCCAGGTGGAAGTGGAACCACCACCATGCAGAGCCTCCTACTCCTAACCTGGCCAGTCTAATTATGAAGGATACCATGGTTGATGGTATCGAAAGCCACTGAGAGGTCCAGGAGAATCAACAGGGATGCACTCCCCCTGTCCCTCTCCCTGCACAGGTCATTGTACAGGGCAACCAAGGCAGATTCAGTACCAAAACTGAGTCTGAAGCTGGACTGACATAGGTCCAGATAATCCGTTTCATCCAAGAGTGCCTGGAGTCATCCCACCACCACCCGCTTCAACACCTTGCCCAGAAACGGAATGTTGGCCACTGGTCTAAAGTTGGCGACACCTCTGGGTCCAGGGACGCCTTAATTAATACATCCCACACGCCCTGCTTGTCATCATGACATCGTTGATTAGTGAATATAATAACCCTGGTTGTTTAAAGAATTCATTGCTTAATGGTACATGCAGAGCTTAAACAAGAGTAGAGAAATTGCTTAATAAAAACCAAACATTATTTTTATACTATTATTATGAAAGTGTTCAAAGACAGTATTCAGTGTTACAGTAGCTTTTAATATACAAGACATATATTCCTTTCAGAGAAATTTATCTTGTGTCATCACCACCAAAGAATATATTGAATATTTGTCATATTTGCCTTGCCTCTTCTGGAAAGATTTGAAAACTCTTGAATTTATTTATCTGAATAGTACTGATACACAAGCTTTAATTTTCTTTGAATTCATGTTTCTTGACTGTAGGTCATTCGTGTGAAGCAACATTTCAGTCATAAAACAATTTGAAATAATCTACTGTAAAATCCCATTGATTTTAATTTTTGCAAAATAAAGTGTTATTTATTCTGAATATTCAGTTATTTGGGTCAGAATGAAATCATATATTTTAAACCTACATTTACATGTTTATGGTTTTAGAGGGTAAAAATGAGCACAGATCCTATTTAGAGCAGACCCAGTGAAATGAATAGATCTTAAACGGATCATGAGCAATTTAAGTTCCATTCATTTCAGCTGGTTAACCCAAAGTAGGACTTACACTGGATTTTAACCAATGAGTGGCAGGGATTCAGTTTTGAGGAATCTAATGCCAAATGGTGTAATACAGGCCAGAAAAAAGGATTGATTCTAGCCCCTTACCAATTACTGTTGTTCCCTGTTCTCTCCAGAAATCTTCCCCACCCCCAGATGTATTTTCCCTTCTTTTCTGTGAGCAGGCAGGCATGATGACAAGAGCAGCAGCATTGGAAGGGAGATTTTTTTTCCTACCCCACCTTCTTTGGTGCTCTGGTGTACTGATTAGCAGCATGCCAGACCATAAGAAATGTGGTTTTCTTTCTCTTGCAGTGAGAGCAATCCTTGTGAGGACTACATTTCTGATGGGCCACTGAAATCCACCATCCCAGTATGCAGCTAATCAGTGCACCAGAGAGTCAGAGAAAGTGAGGAGGGAGAGGGAAAACAACCTACTGTGGGCTGCATGCATTAACAAGGGAAATGGGGGAGATAAGGCTGTTGCTGGCAAATCAGTCAAAGCTGGTGAAGAGCACTTCTAACAATGAGTCCTCCATTGATATCGCCAAGTCCAGGAGAAGTTCCAAACTGCAAACTTGGCCCTTAGGGACCCTGCTGGATTAGACCAAAGGCCAATCTAGTCCAGAATTCTGTTTTGACAATGGCCAACCAGATACCCATGGGATACCCACAAGCACAGCATGAATGCAATATCACCCTCCCAGTTAGTTCCACTTAGTCCAACTTACTTGCAGAATAATACTGCTTCTGATACTGAAGTTAACATGTAGCCATCATGACTAGTAGCCACTGATAGCCTTACCATCCATAAATTTGTCTATTACCCTTTTAAATTCTATTCAAGTTGATAGCCAAGCCTGGAGGAGCTTTGATTAGTCTTAAGAATGGTTAGCTGAAACAAACCAACTTCAGATCATGGGTTATAAGGATAGCTTATTTTGACTAACTATAAGTGAGATTAACCACAGTTGAGGGTTCGAATATAAGGGTAAATTTAAATTGATAGCAAAAGCTTCTGATCTTTTTCTTGTAGCCATGTTGGAGAAGGAAAGGAGAGTAGGATGCCTAGTGGTAATGCTATACCACTGTGTCAGAACCAAGCTATAGTATGCCATGAACACAAAAATTTTGATTAATCACTTGAAACATTACAATTCCCCACTTGTGGGAATTACTTAGGATTCTTTATTAAAAATTATGGTTAAATTGTAAGATTTTTTTTGCTCAGGGATATATCTTCTAGTCCTACATAAATTAAACACAGCTAACACAGGTTTCCTCTGTCATAGTTGTGTTTTATATTCAGTTCTAAAAAGAGCATTCATCACAGGCATTGATCTTCAACTATAAAACACAAATTCCAATATATTCAACCTTCTAATAAAAGAACCTTTAAACTATTTCCAGTGTTTCTTCAATGAATCATACTTCAATGAGTCATGTACTTGATGGCAGTCTAATCATTTATGCTTAAGGAATACTGTTTCTTACAGTGATTATTCTTCATCTCTAAGTCATAATTATTTTGTGAAGTTTGACATCTTTACATCCCACTGTTATATCTTTATTCTTATCTTTGTTCTTCTGATTTGCTGTTTGCATTTTATCTCTGACATTTGGTTTGATTCAGATCCTGTAAATATGGCCTATCTGACAAATTCATTATAGCAGTTTCTTGTAAAAATAATTCACAGTCTTCACAGATAAAAAGATTATATATGTATTGTTCTTGACAAAGTAATCCCTTCTCAAACCATATGCTAGAACCTACACAATACATGCAAATGCATGTATCAGACCTAATGACCATTTAAAAAGGAAAAGAGCTTTGGGAAGGATGGATTTGAAGTGAAGTAGTAGAGAGTGGCATCACTTGCCACTACTCCTCTTCCTTGTCAAAGAAGAAGCTGGCATGCTCAGCCACGAATCCTGTTTGCCATAATAGCACCACTGAGACATAGCAACTGTCTGTGGAGGGACCTGGCAAAGAAAACATGGCACTGGCTTCAGAATTTGCAGGCAGAGCAAAGCCTACTGGATGCTCCAGGGGAAAGGAGCAGAAGAATTGCAGATATGTGGAGAATAGCAGAAAATCTGGGTACAGTGGACTTGTGTGGCCAAATTCTTGGTCACTTTCAGAGCCATGTTGGATTTCAGACAACATTGAATGCGTGACTAAAAACCTTTGGTGCTTGTCAAGGGCCTGAGACTAAAGGCAGAGGAGGGTTGACTCAAAACTTTTTGTGTACAGACCATGTGCTCTGCCACCACTGAGCTGTGGTCCTTCTCCCAGGATCCATCTAAAGCTGAACGGGAGTAGCATGGTCCTGGGTGGAGAGAACCTCTACATCTTCTCTAAAAATGCCAACCAGTAAGAAGTACAAGACATTAGCACCAC